AGAGCATAAAAACCATGCGGCGCTGTATGGTGGAGGTTGGTTGGTACAAAAATACTTTGTACACTTTAAACTAATAGTAAAAGAAATTTTAGCTGCATCCACCTGCGTCCATGTTAAACGGTTAACACTCTTACGTGAAACGTGATTAAGTGGAATCATTTTAATTTTTTTTTGTTATAGCTGAGAACGGTAAATTGCTAGATTACTAGATTTTCGGATTTAGCGAGTACTTTACATGGGAATTGGATAGTGACATCCTTGGAACATTTTTGCTGTAAACCAGTGTTATTTAAAAAATCCAGAGCAATGTAAAAAAATAATAATGGGTATCAAATAAATGAAAAAATTAGTCCATAACATAAATTTTTTTCAATTAAAATTTTTTATTCTACAGAATTTCCGCTTTTATATGACATGAATATTACATTGCAGTGAGTTTTCTAAATATTTTTTTTTTAATTACTCATAAGTATCCTTAAAATTGTAAAGTCCTTTTAAGAAAAATTCTGACGTCAGAGAGAAAGGCAAAAAACCTCATTTTACTATTTTCGGCCCTTTAGTTTGCGAATATATTAATGTTTGTATGTAAAAAATTTACTGTCGCACGGTTGTGTCTCAGCAGTGTACTTACAATATATGTATATATTAAAGATGATAGCGGACATTGTAATATTCGCTTATGAAATGTGATTAATGACATATTTATTTAAGTTCATTCTATTGATAATCACGCCACGCCAGCTATCAGCTTAAAGTCATAACGATTTCATTCACTTCATTAATCAAATTAAAAGGAATCCCATGTAATTTCAAAAAAACACCCAACAAAGATTAATAGTCTAAATTATTTATGCCATTAACACGATAAGTTTCGACCAATCACAATAATGGGCAAAATCGCCTTCTTGCCGCAGCCGAGTACTTGCATACTGCCAACACTACTCGCCTCAAAATATGCCAATCGAATTTACTACATCCGTAACTACTACAAACTTCATGTATTGTTGTATAATGCATCGGACAAATTGAACCAATAATAAACGCCCGTAGCTAAAGAGAAAATCAATTGAATGGCAACTGAATTGAATCTAAGCACACACCCACGTGAATATAACCGCAAATAGCAGATTTGATTTATTTTATATTTTACCTTATTTAGTTATACTACAAGGAATACAATGCGTTGCATAATTATAAGACGGCCACACATTAACAAGTTTTTACTATTTATTTTTATATTATTTAATTATTTTCTGATAAATATATGGTTCATTCTATCGCAAAAAACCATACAAATCCACATTTTAAAAGTTTGTGCAAAAAATTTAAAAATTCCGCGAATTTTCACCAAAATTGTAAACTGTTTGCAAAAGTTTTGCGTACGCCCATGCAATTTTGGTACAATAAAGTTCAAGTTTTATATGGCTACAAAATACCGTTGATTTTTGGTATTTTTTTTTTTTTTGCTTACGGTGTTGTTCATTTTCTTGCATTTAAAAAAGTTTTCGAACATAAATACTTTGTGTGGAAGGAAATTATGTAGTGACCTCGTCAACTAGAAAAAATTTTTAAAAATTATACAAAAATGTTATGGGCTATAAAACTGCATATACAAAACCTTTCCAAAAATTCTTTAAAAGAGTATAAAATTTAGGTGAAAATTCGCACAATTTTTATAATTTTTATACGAATATGGAAGTGTGGATTTGCATGGCGGTTGTTGTAGAATGAACTATGTTTTTAAGAGAAAATAATTGAAATTAAAAAATATAAAAATAAATAGTCAAAACTTGTTAATATGTGGTGGTCTTATAATTATGCAACGTAGTGTAGATACAATGTATGAATATTTATGATTATGTGTTTGCGCTCGTAGCGCTTATGAGATGAATCTCCATACATAGCTGTGATTTTATGGCTCAACCAATCCTCTAAATTCTTGATGTTCATTACATAGCCACACATAATTTAGAATAAGATGCATTTTTATAAAAAAAAAAAATTAACACACACGTAAGTATATATGTATATGGAAATACGTACATACATATGTAGGTACATAGATAATTACCAGTTAGTGTGAATATTTTTGTATGAAACTCCAGTAGCTTCTGGCAGCGCAACGCTCTCAATTCTGCACGCCACTACTGCTGCTTCGGAGTTAATTATGAATACTTGCATAAAAACATACATACATACATACTATATACATAAGTATATAATTGCGTTACAGCCAATCACATTTTTGCATTTCAAATGATGCACAATTTGTCATTACGGATTAAAATTTTTGTAGCAATTTGTTAAAGGTTTTTTTTTTTTTTAACTATTGTTCGCTTACTGGCGCGCGTGAGCAGTATGCAAAAGACGACTCATTTGTGAGGCAAATATTCGCTAAGCTAATAAAACAAACAAGCTATCAATTTAAAGTGTGGATTCGTTATGCAAATAAAAAAAAAATCAGTTAGATGAAAATAATAATTTTAAGTACCCACAGATGCACACTTTAATTGCTAAAATTTATGCATTAACATTGATGCCAGCATAGCAATAACGTTTTGCTGACTTAATTAAGTAAGTCTAGAAAGCATTTAATTACTTCATTTGGTTATTGTAACCTTCCCTATTACCTTCCGTATTAATATGTAATTTTTGTATTTTTAGGGTCGTAAACAGTGTTGCTACTCAAGCGAAATGTTATTCCCGCCAGAAATACACTCGGACGCTTAGAAAATTATTAGAAACAACTTGATTTTTATTTTATTTTTTTTTGATCGGAAATCGGGACTCTGCGGCTGCATTTATTTACTTTAGCATTTTAATATGTACTCTATGTTTGTATGTACATATGTATATCCATTCGATGACTACGAACAATTCGAACTGCCTATTTAATTTAAATAAGAAAAACGCTATTTGGAACTCCATGCCTATAATGGCATGTGAAGACATATTCTTATGCTAACACGACTTTAAATATACAACTTTTATATAAAATACATCAAGAGTAACACGTTTGTTGCAGCGCTAATTGTAAATACGCTGCGGAAAAGGTCAGCTACAGTTAATAGAAAAATAATAAGTTTTTAAGTCTTTCAAATGATGATGAATGTGGCTTTCAACGAAGCCACTATGAGACAGGTAGGTGCCATGTGTATCTGAGATTTTTAAATGCAGAACATACGTTGTCCCGCCTTTCGATTAATTACCACCAATTAGATTTTAAAGTTCGAAATTTTTTTCAGCTTGCAAAAATAATCGTTTCAGCTAATCAACCAGTATTTGACGTGTTTTAGAAGTCTACGTAAAAAAAAAAATGTTTACATATTATTATATACATACTAGCAGACCCGGCGGACTTCGTTCCGCCCAAAATTAATTTTTTATTTAAACATTTGGTCCAACGTTTTCACCAAAAATTCACGTTCACGTTTGGTTTTGTGGTCTTCAGAAGGCATTGTCCATATTAAATGACATAATGAAAGAGTTATGTCCATGAAGAAGTTATTGTGTCAATAATGATCTGGTTCGATGGTGAATCGTCCTTGAATCTGTATAGTACAGTTGGTGGCAATTTCAAAATGGGGGAGTATCATTAGTCCACTGAAATCCAATATACATAGACTTATTTCAGACGAAATACCTTAGATGTCTTACAATTGTATTTGTAGGCCTTTATCAAGAATTATCTTTATTCTGTTTAGTCTCCGTAAAGTAAGGACCGCAGTGGTTCTGCTGGTTGATTTAACGGTGGCAATTTAACTTTGATCCTTGGTGTCTCCGAATGAATCCACTTGATGACTCCAGCGCCACCCTGCAGCTCTCTGTGTGCCCCTACCGTTACCAATATATGTCTCGAATATGAGCCAAATCGGACAGTAAATGCAATCTTGAGTAATAACTCGACTCCAGCGCCAACTGGCGTTTCAAGTTGTGAACCGAAATTATACAGGAACCCGCTCAAACACATAAGAAAAGTCATTAAAATCGTTTCGAGCATTTAGGAGGGGTTCACTCACAACCACACGTACCGAAGAAGTATATATCACAAGGGCCCTAACCAACAACTTTTTTTTTATAGGAGAAGCAAAAAACACTATAAAATGAGTATCAAAAACTATTACTCTAAAATTTTTATTAAAGGTGTAATTTAATACATCCTACCAAAATCTGTGAAAAACGCATTTTGAAAACGTGTTGGTTAGGGCCTCTGTGAATTAAGGTAACGTTACGTGTTTACAGATAAGTAAAAGTTTCAGTGTGCCGCCACGCCCCCTTTTCCAATAACCCCTAATTTTCTCCATGAGTATGGGATTGATTTCAAATACCTCGATATCTGGTCCACCTATCAGAAAATAGGTATAGGATATATGCTAATCTAGAAAAAAGGTAGGTAGGTAACCAAATTTCAAGCAAATCGGACAATAAATAAGATTTTTCGAATAGATCGGTCCCTGGTCCATTTCCCTAAAAAAAGGATCCTATATCCTAATATCCCAAACAATTTTTTAAAGCATATCACCGGGAGCAACAACTGTGCCAAGTTAAGGATAAATGTGTGCGAGAAAATATCTTCTTGTCAGAGATCAGTGCCCTTATTAGTGCAGGTATTCCGCTATTCAGGCTAACAAAATGGATCTACATACAGTCGAATGACTTCTGTCGTAGTTCGGGCGAAGGAAGAAGTTAGAAAGAATATAGGAGCATCTAGTAATTAGAGTATTATAATAGGTCCATGACGGGCACACTTACCAACGTAGGCTGATTTTCAATACAAACAAGTGTGGAAAAAATCTTATAAAAAAAAAACGAATCCCATTTAAAGGGCTGAGCAGCGCTAAATTTATACAGATATTTTATGGCTTTTAGAAATATGTTCAAGCTTTTTTCGTGGCTATATAACTAATCGGAGGCATAGTTACTTCTTTTACAGATCTCATTTTTTTATCCAAATTATTTAATGAAAACTGCATGGTTTACAAATTTTATTTTACTCTCTCATCATTTTTATTTAAAAATGGGTGTTAAAACATTTAAATAAATTTAACAAATATCACACAAATAACTTAAGCTCATTGAGTTATGCACTGGTCTACGCATTTCCTTGTATTCAACCCCAATAGCCATGTCCATGGCCGCCACCCCAGCCTCCCCAGCGCTTGTACCCGTAGCCACCATAACCGCCTCTGTAACCACCATAACCGCCATAACCGCGTTTGTAAATACCGTAGCCGACATAGCCACCGTAGCCGCCGTAACCGCCGTAGCCACCGTAGCCGCCATAGCCGCGTTTATATCCACCGTAACCGCCCCAGCCATAACTGCGTGCGACACGATCAGCTTCTTCGTTCTGGTCGCCGCCAACATCCGTCACGTCTAACAGGCTGTTTGGCACTTCCCCTGTAGCTGCCTGTCCTTCGACTGGTACTGGTTCTACATGTGACACCTCTGTTTCTTCCGAAGCTATACTTGCTTGTGCATAAGCCACAGCAATGAGGGAAAATAAAATGCAGTAGCGCATTTTTGTTAAGTTTCCTTTGGCACTCACGTTCTGTTCAGTAGCAAGTTAAGAATTTTACTGCTTTCCTTCTATAGCATTGACCACTGCTTTTATAGGCTTCTGTATACAGGTGAATTATTGGGCAGCTTGGGATTATGTTTGCACATACATATTTACATATGTATATTCATGAGCATCTCGGGGGTGATTTTCGCTTGCATTCATAAAATTGTTGACAAAACTACTTACATACCGGTATGCATATGTGCATTAGGGTGCTGATCGAAAATGTTTTTTTTTCGAAATTTCAAGACCCTACCCCCTTATTTTATTCGTTTTTATGAGAAATGTTATTGCCTATTTTTATAGACTTTTTGAAGGTCATTTAGAGGTCAATATGGCGCTTAAGAAGCCTAAGCGAAATTTGTATACCAAAATTGGTCGAAATCGGTCAAGTATTTTTTGAGATACGCATATTTCTAAAATTTCTTGAAAAATCACTTCTTTGCTAAAGAGCGATTGTATATATCAATTTTGAATAAATATTGATTAATTCTCTAGCCACACTGCTCAAAAAGTCGAATACATAAACAATATAAATTCAAGGCCGTATTTAAGAAAAGTCGCTTAACTTCAACAATTTTTTAATATATTTTAAATAGATTTAATTTTAGATAGTACATACTATATATTTTGAAATTGTGTAATTTATCGATGGTCAAAATTTAAAAAATTAACAGAAATATGTTTCTTTTTTTTAATTTACCCGATAGAAAATTCCAACACGCCAAGTCTGACAATAGATTATTATATACCATTTTAAAGGCCTATATATTCTCTTTTCAGATCATTCAGATCTTTGAAATCGAATCTAAAATGGTCATTCAAAAACTCATAAATCTACAAAATTGTATTTTCTGTCCTTAATCGCGACCCCTAAATGACCTTTAAAAATCCATAAAATATGCCATAATATTTCTTATAATAAAGAATAAAATTGGGGATAGGGTCTTGAAATTTCGAAAAAAAAATTTCGATGGGCACCCTAATGTTCATACATACTATCTATACATATTTACATATATGCATTGTGAGGGAGTCATAAATAGCAACTATGTAACTGAAGATCACGAATTGCACAATAAATTTGTCTAATAGTTTAGTTGTAAGCTCAGTAGTAAGGCAGGTTATTATGAATGATTTGCAATTTCTGGTGTAGGAACAGGTCTAGATTCTGGGAATTCGTGAATAAGCTCAACCGGCATACCGTCGTAACCAATTACATCGTCATCGATGTACGGTAGGCCTTAACAGGGAAAAGAATGCCGTATACCTTCGAATTTAAACTATTTTTGTCGACAATTTCGAACTTCTTGCGCAACGTATGGCTCTTCGGCTTTTATGTGTATAGTCGGATCTTAAAGCAAAATATATCGATGTTCTTGCATTTAGTTCAAGTACCCATCTCACTTACTTCCTTACCAGATCCCTGTTCCAACCACCCCAACGCACCAGTCTAATGCCAGTAAATTAACAGTCTTTCGAAATACAAAATTCTTTCGTTAGACAAATGTCAATTCCGTTGTTGTCGATATACTAAGTGAAAGATCTGCTAAAGAGGAGATGTTAGCGTTATTTTGTTTGTCTTTTAGCAATACGTCTTTTTTTTATTAAATAGATATATATTTATGTTCTTTTTAAAGCAATGAGAACTAAATATAAAAAAATATTAAAAATAAAGAAAAAGGCAAAATTTTAGAAGCAAAAATTTTCAAATTAAAAGAAATTGAAAGATCTTTTTAACAATAAAATCTAGAAAATAAATGAAAATTAAATTTAAAAAATATTATTCTTAAAAATTAAAAGAAAATGAAATTAAAAAAAATAAGCTTTTAAAAATTACATAAATTAAATTTAAACATACTTTTCCTTTTAACTGAAAATCTAAGAAATTAATTTTAATTAAAAATTACTAAAAATAAAGTTCCTAAAAATTCATTGAAATCAAAAAGCATTTTTCCAAGGAGGTGCGGTCTAATGTACATTCTCATTACAAAAGTTTTTCCCCAAATATTCGAAGTGCGGATGTTTTTGCACCAATGCAGGCGCATACAATTTTACACGATCGACCCAAGAATCAACCTAAAATGTTGACACTTTTGCCTTTAAATGCCGATATTTTCACTTGATGCTCTTAAAGGTTCTGGTTCGATATCGTGTACCTACAAAAGTACCTCTACCTCTAGTCATTCGCGATATATGAGCTTAGGTGAACAAAAAGGGCTTCCCCACATTTTTTTCCGAAAATTTATCCAAGGAATAATTATATAGAAATATCAGAATAGGTACTTGTTAAGAATCTATGTATTTGTATGCATTGTATGCATTCTGCTACTAAAATTCAAGTTTCAAATGCGGCGAAAGAGCACTCATCATTGCCGGTGAATCATTATGTAATTTCTCTAGATTTTTTGTTTACCATGCGTCACTTTTAATAAAATGCTAAAACATTTTGTGTCTAATGCCTAATGCCTAATGTCTTTATTTGCATCAGCACACTGAGAAAAAGTTGAGCATATTATAAAATATTACCTTAAAAATTTTTGGGTTATTTAAATGTTACAGTATTCTTTTAAAGTGTTTAGAAAAAAAATGTTTTAAATATCTTAACTTCACTTTATGTGATAAGTAGGGAGTGAAAATAAGATGTTGTTCCAGCAGACCTTTCATTTGAATTTCGGACACTCAGTATTCCCTGAGGCAATAAAAAATCACAAGGCTTTCCGGGTTGGACTTTAGCTAGAAAATCCCTGTTTTACCACAGCGATATTCCTTGAGAGAAACTGTGGATTGAAGCTTTGAGATTTTTTGCTCAATGTGAATGGAGATTTGTACATTCTTTTAATAAAGAAGTTTCAAGAAAACTTGTATTCTTACCAGGAAGCTACCAGCGCTCAGTGGGGCAAGACTTTTTTGTAAACGTGTCACAAAGTATAAGGATGCCTTAAGTGAAAATGAATTGTTTTATGTACAAAGACAGTTATATAACGAATCTATCTTCAAGGCATATCTGCGAGGCAACATGTAGTAAATATTTTTTTATTTAAATAATTACTTTTTCAATAAATGGTTATAGCAGTATCAGTTAGCTCAGATTTGTTGATACAAATTTTTTGCAGCAATTTTTTTTTCGTCGCCAATTTTATACTTTTCTCAGCGAAGAATATTAAATTTTAGCGATGCAAAATGCGCTGGAATCGCTATTTTAGCTACATAGGTGAGCTGCCAAAACTCACTCCATCCGGTTAATTTTTTTCATCACTAAAATTTACAAAAAATTAATCAAAACTGGAGATTCTTGGAAATGCTTTTTTAAGATAGATTCGCGAAAATCGCTTAAAAATTGCCAAAATTCATTTAGCATTTTTTGGCGACGGGGTTTTAGCCATAGCGAAAGCTGGCATCCGGCTGCGGGACCGCCTAAACAAAAACTGAAGCCAACTGACCATTCACAGTCTAACCGGTACGCTTAATTTCAAGATAGTTTTTCTTGATAAGAGCATAGAATGCCTCACAGTATACAAGCAGAATTTTCTTTATTAGTCCAACAATTGTTTTCACTGTACTAAACATTTTTAATAAACAGTTAATGTCTGAAAATAGATTTACGATGGGAAGCTGAACTACACTACATGAAATATTGTTAAGTGTATATATATACTTATACATATATGTACATACATACATATCGTCGTTGTAAAGTACCAAACCGCGTAACTGACATTTGCAGCCAAAAATTTAATTTGTTCACACAAGCTCTTGGCTCATTCTTTATCCATTCGTCCTGAAATATATTAGCCAGAAATGCGATTGCTTTATAAAAACGGAAACCATTTTGAAATATGAGTGTTTTTACTCTCTAGAAAATAATTTATGCAACCTCATATACGCGGTTTTGCATTTTGTTGATACGCGGTTTTGTACTTTAAACCACGATATGTACATACGTACACATTTATGCAATGTAAAGTTTTTTCCCATCAAATTTGCATGCCTCATTAGTAAGTTTTTAACACTTAATTTCCTAATATTTCACAATTCGCTGAACAAATTCAAAACATTTTCAATGGATGCCAATAAAGGAATAGTTGATTTATTATATTAAATAACTTTATAAACCCACTGGGAAAATAGGTAAGTACCGTTCGAGGTAAGCCATGTTTTCTTTCAGTTTTTAGTACCAAAATTGTTGTTGTTGTTGTGAGGAAATTGTTGCGGCTCTGTACTTTGTTGACAATTGCGGTTGTATGCGCCGAGAAGGAGTACAGACTGTCGAAGGTAACTCTGAGGATTTTCGAGTTATTCACCGTCGGTATTGTTACGCCATCACCGTGAATACCTAGTTGCAGTCTGACCTCCTTCGTCCAGGTGGTGAATAGGGTTGCCGAGGATTTCGCAGGGGATAGGGCAAGGCTCCTTGCAGTGAATAAGAGAGAAAGTTCGGCGAGATAACCGTTTACTTTCGAGCCCAAGTTATCAATTCCATTCCCAGACGCCATGACCGAACAATCGTCAGCATAAGAGACAATGTAGACACCCGCTGGTGAAAACAAGAGGCGCACTTGGTTTTGGCAGTTTGTGCAGCCTTCTGGTCACTCTGGTTAGCTTCGGGCTAAAATAGCTCGCGCATCGCTCCGGGTCCGACGAAGCGCGGTCACCAAAGTCTATTTCAACTCTGTCGTCACGCTTCGCCGGGTTGGACAATGACCTCATGGTTGACCAAAGCTTACTCACACCAGAGGCGAAGTTACAGGTCTTCAGATGCTCTTCACATTTCTTCCACTTATGTACGTTCACAAGTTGCCGAATCTCCGAATTGAGATCTCTGATTTTGGGATTTCCGGAATCGGCCTGACGAAGGTTGTCAGGCTCATCGACTAGAACAGCCGCTTCCGTAGAAAAGTTCGGAGCCGGATCCGTAATACATCCTGATGGGGTGAAGCGAGCTGCAGCAGCATTGACAACTCTGCGGAATTTACGTTCACCTACGTGAACGTCTGTTGGTATGGG